TTTAAAAAGTATTTTTACAACTTATACCTTGCATAGGAATTTAGCAAACTTTCAAAAATAATCATTCATTAGATATAATTTTCAATTTGTGCTTATCGTCAGGATTTTTCATGCCTCTTTTTTTATGTGCATATTTTATATCGGCTGATTTTTAGAAAAGGATCGAATGCCGATTAAATTTTTTTCTCCAATTTTTTAAAATTAATTTTAGTATTTTCAGGCACCCATTATTTTTTTTTTTTAAATAAAAATGTGATCTTTTAAAATCGTTTGTAATAATTAGACTGAGTACAGAATTTATCTCTGGAAACAAAGCTTTTATCATCTTTTAAATAATTTCAATTGAGAAAAAAAGGAGAAGAAAACAAACATTTCATTATGGAAGTAATCCATAACTGTACAACTTACAGATGTATTCAGTATTTTTATATAAAGGCTTTCTTCGTGTACTAGTATTACTTAAGTTAATTAAAGGGATGCCTTAATATTTTGGAAAATGAAACTCAGTCGAGAGATTCTCCGATGTTTTGCAGTCGGTAATAACCTTCAACCCCTTTAGCCAGTAATTAACCCGTCCTCCCTGTGCCCAGTAGCATAATTCGGTCAAATATTTATTGTTCATGAGGGGTGCCTTATAATTAATCACAGGCACCTGAATTTTTATCAGTAAGTCTCTAAATTAGCCAAATATCGAAACATTCTACCCCCTCTATATATAAATACACAAGGTGTCCAACGCCATTTTGACCACCTGTTCGATTCAGGCTTCAATTTAACACATAAATCGGAAATGCCTACTGGTTTTCGTGTAGCATTGGGTTCAAATATGATATTTCTCGCTATACATTTCTTCCTAAAGTTTAAATCTAACGCGTTGATAATGTTATCAGCTAAACTTCATGCTGTCTTCGAATTTCGTCACAGGGCCCAATCGCCATCAGCTGATGTCACAGAAATTTAATCTCGACACCAAATGCTCCTATACATAAACTTTTTTTAATACAACAATTATAAATTTATTTCATTGACAAACAAAATCAGAAAAAAATTAAAAAACCGAAAGATTATGTTGTTTTGATAGTCTTGATTTTATTTAACATATGTTATATGTGTTAGAAACAAATCATAGGTACTAAGTAGAGGCTTTGTTGAAGTTTCCACTGTCGATAGGTAGCGCCTTATGGAAGTTTCCGGTGTCGATAAAAATTGGACACATGCCATAAAGCGGCTAGCGAAGCTAACCGCTTAAAAATTCAATTATTTAAAAAAAAAAACCCACACAATTACAAAGTACGACAAAAGTTTATCAAGTATGTAATGTTTACCTGACCAATAGCCTTTGTTTTCTGCGAGTGTACTCGCTCCATGTCTTAAAAGAGTCCGAGCGCTCTCGAGGTGCCCCAGGGCTACAGCCAAATGTAGCGGGGTTCTCCCACGGGGATCCTTACCCTCAATTATGACAGTATCATCCTAAAATAAAAATGCATATTGTTCATAGTCGCTTGTATAAAGTCCTTCAAAAAGAATGGCATATTACAAATCAAACAGATAACATAACACACAACCATGACACAAGAGGAATTTAAATATCTGAGCCATATGACTTTGATCATGTAAGATCTCTTGATCTTCACCATTACAAGGCTATTTCTTTCAGAATTTTATACATATTTTCTTTTTGCAGAACCATGACCTTGCTAAATAACCCTTACCTAATCTAAATGACCTTACATCACAATTATGATACATCCTCTGTTCGACATCAACTTTTGTACAAAAACTATAGAATTATAAATTGTTTTTGGATTTCATGCATTACACACTCTAGGTATTATAATCATAAATGTTTTGGCAGAGTTGTGCATTTTGGTAGTTATGTCTGATTTTGATAAATATATATTTTTTAATATGTGTTTTGTATATTTTTTATTTATTTCCTCATCATTTCAATTAGTTACTTAACAAATATTAAAATCAATAACTATACAAGTGATATCAGTTTCCCAATTAATTAGGGTTCCAAGCATTGACATATACAAATGTGGCAGATAAGTGTATCCTTTCCTGAAAATAGCCTTGAGATCAGTATGTTTTTTTAAGGCCATTGGAGAGTTGTGATAAAAATTCCATTGCAAAATCTCAGGTGTTATACAGACAGCATATATGAATTTATGACCTTGACCTTTTGATCTCAAAAAAGAGTTCATTCATAGTGGTTTTGTTATTATTAGTTTTTTAAGAAGGCTCAAAGCAAACTAATGTTTTCATCTGGGAAATGTTATTTGTATGGAATTAATTTTGACCTCGACCTTCAACTTTAAAATCAGAAAGGGTTTTCTTTAGACCATATGAGTTGTGATATAAAATTTTGTTGCAAGTGCTCAAAGACTTTTAAAAATGTTGACCAGAAACAAAAATTGTAGTATATAATTTCATTGCAAAAGCTTGAGACATCATCAAGGAAATGAAAGTTGATATCAAGGTCATCAGAAGTTTCTATTTACGGCCTTGACCTTTTGACTTCATGATAAATAGGAGTCTTCTTAAGCCACAGGGAGTTATAAAATTTCATAGCAAAACATAAACAGCTAAGACACAGTCAATGTCTAAATTTATGACCTTGATTTTAAATTTAAAGAAAACTTATGTGTTTAATGTGAATATTAGAGAGCGCAGCGAGCTCAATAGACTAACAGGAAATACAGGTTGAAATCTGCACATTGTTCCAAGAAATTTTTATGAGTCCTTGTGAAAAAATTCCAAACTCCCAATAACCCTTTGCAGTGCATAGCAACAAGGTGGGTTAAACATAGCAACAGCTTACTGGAAAAAGATTACAAACATCGATTTCATGCAATCTCAGTGCCACAAAACTATATTTTTTGAGTTCTAAGTCAACAGGACTTTTTATTTGATGTCATACTTTCGTCACTCAAACAGCTCAGGTATATCCGATTTTGTTGGAAACTTCTGAGAAATTTGCATTAATTGCAATCTCGATCCCGATACATGGGAGGTGGTTTCTATTTATTGTTGTGTTTTCTTTTTTTTCATTGAACTGAGGATAGGCAGCACAGTGTAAACTGTTTATAGGTTTTTACAAATACAAAGCTGGGCTCGCCCAAACGGTCACACCATAAAACATACTATGATTTAGTAGGTCTATGCTTAAAGTGTACAAATGTTCAATTTGTTGTTTAGCTGCAGAACTGTAGCTCGACAAAAATATATATTGACAGACAGGAGAGCTACAAAGCCACCCATTGGAAAAAACTATATTTATTGCGTGCAAAAATTGCGATCAGTCCTGGTTTAATTTTTCCAAATTCTTATCCCAGTTGCAAAAAAAGCTAGATTTAAAAAAATTCCTTACACCTCTCTCAAGTACCCTCCTAGTACACATATGTACAAAGTGCGTTGGACCTAATTATCTTGCAAACCGCAATGGCAGTATAAATAGGCGAAATTTTCGATGATGTCAATTCCATGACCAGGAGGCCTATTAACAACAATGAAAAGGAATGTTTTGTTTTGGAAATAGTGAAAGAATGTGTTACGAACACACAGTTAGTGATATTTTGAGATGACAGTTTTAAAACCATCGAGAAATAAGTCGACAAACAGCATGCTTCTTTGTGTGCAATAAATATACAGTTTTTACAATGGGTGGCACTGTAGCTCTGCGGTCAGTCAATAATTTTTTTTTCGTAGAGCTAAAGTTCTGCAGCATTTGTTGTTGTATACAGGTGTCTCATTATATCGCGGTACTAAATTCTTTTGCATAAAAAGTGTAATTTCTAATTTTTGTTTTAACTTACATCAAATGATAATTGTAATTCTAACTTTGGCCTAACTTTTTAGTGTTCAATTATTTTTCAAGCTTGCATCGTTTAATTTGTGGTCTATTTTTAAAACAGGAAGTCTTATTTACCTCCTAAATCGGAGAGTCTCATTGTATCGCGGTATGGAAATACATGGAAACTTGTAAATGATACAGACCTCAATTTTTATTTTTGAATTTACGATGTAACTTTACACGAAAAAGTGAACAATTGTATATACTAAAGACTTTTAAAAGATGAAGTTTATTATGATTTTTACGAGATTATAATTCTAATGGTCTAAATATAATTTAAAGGAGACATGAAATCAGAAAAATTCGTTTTATTTTTATTCAAAAGGATGTTCCATATTTCTTAATCACCGAAAAAAAATAATCATTCAAACAACATTCATAATGTCTATCAACAAAAAGAAAATAGGCTATGTATCCACATTTTTGCGATATACCGCGATACAATGAAACCCGCGATATAACGAGAATTGAGTATACATACATTTACTGAAATTGAAACAGGATTGGCTAAAACAAAACTACAGATCTACTCCACTTTTCCTAAAAATTATCTGTCAAATCATAGAGATATACTCATTATTCTAACAATTTCAAAATTACTAACTGAATATTTACATTTGATTTGTTTGACAATTCTCGTTCTATTCCTTGGTAATCATTATCCCAAACCAGCCAATGGATGGGAAACTCCTCTTGAAGCGATTTAGTAGACATGTCTTGTCCTGGTGTCCAAAGTTATCATGTCAGAGATCCTATCATTTATGATTCATCTCTTCTATTTTGCATTTTCTTGTGGAAAAGAAAGTTAGACTGCTGCTTCCGCAAAGACGACGTTTTATGTTTGTCGCATAATATTCCAAATATAATAAATAATTTTGCAACTCATGATTGTTTATGATTAAATTTTGATATTACGCTATAATATATTTTTCCATGGCTAATTGACTTTTCAATTGGAATATTTCATTTCGCATTTCATTTTACGACAATAAGATACGAAACTAATTTATATTTTACTCGTTGAAATATATCCAAATATCTTAAATGAAGAGTAATATATTATTTTCCCTTTATTTTCATATTAACTCAATGAAACAATATTATTTTTCAAATACAATTATCAAATTCGAAAATACCATTGAAACATAATACCCTACTTCATATTTCTTCTGTGTTGTGGAAATTTGGGAGGGTACCTTACATCGTTTTTATGCACGATCGGCGGCTATAAATGGTACCTTTTTAGGTCCCCATGTCTAGGACAAAAGTAAGGGCGGCATCTGAGGTGTGCGCCGACTGTACGGCCCCAGGTAGGTCATTTGATGGGGAGTCTGGGGGTCTGATACATCCGTGTATGATTCATATTCCAGCGTTAACTTCATCGCAAAACAAAAACATTAATGGGGAATGTGTTTGTTTATTGAGAAATGAAGTGTCATAGGTTAAGATAGTCTTCAAATTTTTAAATTAATGTTATCATTTATGATGAGATGTTAAAAAAATTGTTATTCATGGTACTGCAACTTGTACACTGTAGGAAAAACAAAGGATGCTGTAGATCTATAATTTATCTAAGATTGCTTTTATAATTTTTTATTCTGCCATAGCTATTAAAGTGGTATGAGTGTTAAATCATGACTCTTAATTCTCCAAATTTTCTCCTTCTAACAACAAGGAATATTGTGTAGGGATGTGTATTGGCAAGAAATTTCGTATTGCGAATTTTGCGATATATTGCCATATCAACTGTACTGAGCAATATGTATTGCAATATTTTCAACGAAAATTAAAATGACATTTTCTCATTATATTTACTTCACTTTACATCTAGAATGTATTATAACTATGATAAGTAACCAGAAGGGAAAAAAATCTTGTTAATTTATTTACAGTTATGCGGACAGATATATATACCCAAGTAAAACAGCATCTTTCTTATTGTTTAGCTTAATCATAAACTTTCTTTATATTTCATGATAGAATTCCAGAGTCCCAGCATTTTGATGGTATATTGTAGTGTTATCACGATGATCGATTTATAATCAATGATGGTATATTTTGCTATCGATTGTAGATTTTAACAATCGATTAATCGGTATTTTTCAGCACATATCTTTTTTACAGTTTTCACATTTTTATTTCAAGAACAGGCTCTTGTTATCAAAATATATATCTTTCAAGAGTTGTCCTTTACTATTTTAGAATACATGTACTTAAAATCTGTTTAAAATAAATCAAAAGATGATGATATTTGTATTTCTAAACTGAAGAAACTAAAGTACTTGTTTGAATAAAATATATTAATTTTCAGTATTTGGGGGAATTCACCTGTCATTTCATATGGAATCACAAGGAATTTGCAATATTAAATGTCTTATAACAGTTTAAAAAAATAATTCCATATAATTTTAGATGACATGTAAATTAAATTCTGATCTGTCAATGCTTACTTTTCCCAGGCCAAGTAATTCCTAATCATGCAAAAATCTGTATTACTGAAATCGTTAATTAAACTGCATATAAACTGTTTTTATTTCGATACAATGCACCTTTACTTACATTATTTAACAATAAAATTCTAATTTTTATAAAATCTAATGCCTATTTTATGCAAAGGGTTACCGATTCGATTATTGGCCGATGATGAGTCGGTTAGGGTCAACCGATGTTACCGATTAATCGATTCTGAGTTTCAACCGATTTGACAACACTAATACTATATTGGTCTTACGAAAATGTTTAGCAATATGGTATATTTTGCTATTGTATTGCAATATATACCAAAAATCAAAATGGTGAATTGATTGATTGATTGTATATTGTTTAACGTCCCTCTCGAGAATTTTTCACTCATATGGAGACACCACCACTTGCTGGTGGAGAGCTGCAAATTTTTATCCTATACTCGGCACTCGGGCCATTGAGCAAGGAGGGATCTTTTTCGTGCCAGCACCTACTGCAACACAGGACCTCAGTTTATATGGTCTCATCCGAAGGACCGGTCTCCATGTCCCACAGTGGGATTCGAACCCGCTATGTAAGGATCAACTCCTTACTTACTTCGCAACTCTAGAGCAGACACTGTAACCACTGTGCCATGCGGGCAACTGAAATGGTGAATTGAACATTGAATCAAACAATGATATTAAACAGTATACCAAAATATTTCCGTGAATCGTTTTAGCCATAGTATGTCAAAGTGATTTGGAAGTAGTAATCCCTAAATATTCTAGTATTTTACCCTGGATATCTTGAATCTTCAGACAATCAAAGTTTTTTTTCTATGTTTCATTGATATTGAGGTTTGATTTAAAATACATTGTGCACATATCTGCAAAAATTTCTTATCATGATATATCGGGATTTTTAAAAAAAATATGATATTATCGAATACATTACATTTATCAAAAGATCATACCAGCGTTGGCCTATTATACAAGAGGTCCATGATACAACTGTAATTTATAAGTAAAATGAGTACCTTCCCTCAAGAGAATCTATTTTTAACATGCAAATCTTGGTTGTCCAGATATAATTGAAGGGACATTTTAAAACTGAAGAAGGGGTCTGGGGTTCCTCCCCATGTGGAACCTTTAGGGAGAGGACCAAAATAACTGTAACCAAAATCACTTTAGGCAGGAAAATTTCCTGGCCCCCCAGGTCTCAGGGCTAACCCTGTAAAATAGGCACCAATTAAGTTTGAACAACCAAAACTAACATTGTTGTATTTAAATCCAGTATATGGTATTTGAGAAAAAAGTTTTTAACTTTGATGATTTTTTTTTTCATCTTGAGATTCTGTTTTGCTTCTCAGTCTATTCAAACACTTCAGTAGTAGACTATACATATGATTTGTACTTAGGAGAATAAAAGTAGTTTTATAAGTACTTGTAAGAACATATCCTCCTCAGTACAAATCAGCTGTTAGACACTGAGTAATTGGCTCGTGTACTTCCTGTTTGACCTGTATGATATTTAAATGGATAGGAGAAAGATTTTTTTGTTTGTGATACCAGGAAACCATGATGAATTATCTTTCTATAAACTGGTAAAATACATGATAAGAAGAAGTGTAAAAATAAGGCATGAAAAAATATAAAGAAAGCGGAAGAAAAGTAGCCCCATTCTGTTGGTGATGCTGATAGGATAATAGAGAAATGTTGAGATTTGTATATCTCTCCTAACACTTCCACTAATTACTTGGTGTAAATGATTGAATCATATTATGATCATTAATCCCTTCACCAACTCGTGGCGAATCTTGTTGCCCATTAGCCTCGCTGCATCTGGTAGAAGTCTTGTTCTCTCAGCAGCTGTACAACAAGTTGTTAAAGATTATTTTTTTAATCTTTTCCCCTTTGGCTGGCTACTATGCTTGGTTCTCCTGATATTTTGAATGAGAGAGTTGGCTTGTGTTTTTGTGAAGTAAGGCGGGAGGCACGGAGGGGGAGATCTTATCTTGCTTTCTTATCTTCATCAGTGTATTTGACAGGGTATCTACTGGGGTTCTATCAAATCAAGCATTTCCATGCTGATTTAAACACAGCAAAACTTGGCTGTAAAAATGTGCGGAAGAGATTGCGGAATCTAGGAAAGACATTAGTGTGTTTACAACTTGGAAATTTACAAACAGACAATTGTTCCTTGATAGGGTTGCAGTCATAGTTGTTTCACATATGTTTAGTTTTATCAAGTATGTGCTACTTCTTCATGTTCTTGGAATTGTAGCATTTGAGGTCAATGAAAAAGGCAGTTCAAACAAGTAGAAATCAAGACATTTTAATTTAGTTAGTAATTTTAATAATAATTGATAAACATACAGATTTGAATATGGGAAGAAAATACATACAAAGAGTTTTGACATATATCAACTGATAAAACAGTCTACCATGAGAGGGTATTTACAGTATCAAGTTTGGTCAAGATTTAAAGATCAATTTTCAAAGTACCATATATTGATTAATTGACAGTAAGTTTCTTTTTTTGTGTATGAAAACTTAACAAAAAGCTTCATTATAACATTATTTAGCGTTGTATGACTCAGTAAGTGCAAGTCATGTAATATACATGTATTTACAAGCTTGATTATGTCTGAACAATAATTTGCCTTTGTGTGTTATATTTTCTTAAAATATCGTAATAATATGCCATTTATGCTTCCCTAACTTCATGGGCACAGATTTGTCTCAGTAAATACAACAAGTGATTCATGTAGAAATTTTGCATGATGTAAAATTTTAAGCAGTTCTCTTACATTTTTGCTCAAGTCTATTAACATACATGACTGTACATGTAATTGAAGTTACCAGTTTATTAACATCTCTTTGGTTGTTATTTAACAACACAGAGATCAATACATATCATTATAACATATATACATACATGCGTGAGCATAACATATAACATATATACAAAGTGTGCTTATAATCAAGTATTTCCATATATGTTTACATTGATGTTAACCTGGAGGTTTGACTCTCTCGTTTAAAATTTTAATAAAAGAACAGAGTTTACTCAATAGTCCAACATTTTTTGAAGAAAACAATTCATTAAATTTGATAATATTTGGTCTTGTAAAATAATATTTCGGAATGTACAATTTTCTTTCATCTTTTAATTTTTCACAACATAAAATATAGTGGAATTTCTCCTTTTTCTAATGATGTGATAATATAATGAGATACTACTTAGATTGAGTCACCCTAAAAGTGTATACAATTCTTTTCTGTCTGATGTGTATGGGGAGGGTAATTCTTTTTATCTGTACAATCAAAGAGCTAGAAAGTGTAAACAATTAAGTAATATGTGTTGTAATCTTTGCAGATTAATACCTGGTAGGAATGTAAAAGCACATATATTCTTCTTTGTGATTTTTGTCAAAAATAGTTTCATTTTTTTCATGTCAAGCTTAAAAAATGTCCAGTAATTAGCTGCATAGTTCATTAGGGAGCTGGAATAATGAAATAAATATGCATCAAAGAAAAAAAGAAATTCCTGTGCTTTAATATATAATTGTGGATTTTCTTTCATCTTTCCAAAGGAGTATAAAAAAGTGATCCCAAACTCTTTCAACAAGGGAAATTTTGCGTAATGCAATAAAATATGTGAACTTTAAAAAAAAAATGAATATTTCTTTGTTCAAAAGTATAAGTTATTTTAACAGTATTCTTAATTTTATATCTTTTTCTGCAGATCCAACATGGGCCTCCATAAACCGCGGTGTTCTGATCTGTGATGAATGTTGTAGTGTACATAGAAGTCTGGGGCGCCACATCTCTCAAGTCAAGTCACTTACAAAGGGGCAATGGAGTCCCACACAGTTACTTGTAAGCAATTTACTTTATGTCAAACAAGTCACTCACAGTGAGTCACCACATCTCTCAAGTCAAATCACTTAGAAAGGAGCAATAAAGCCCCCCCCCTCCCCAGTTTTTTGTAAGTCATAGCAGCTTGCTGTACAGCAACATACTCACAATTGTTCTACACATCTCTCAGGTCAAGTCATTTTAAAACATGCAAAAAAGTCTGCACACATAATTACTTAGAAGTTATAGCAGTTTACTGTCAAGCAAATCACTCACAACAGTCCACATGTTTTGAGCCAAGTCATTTTCAAAAGTTGTTGGTAAGTCACAGCAATTTACTATATTGCAAATCACTTACCATTGGACTGTGGAGTCCTACACTGTTACATTATCAAGGTGTCTGACAGACTTCATGTAAGTTTTGCAAAAATTGCAATGTCCCAAACATGTAGCATTCTGTACATAAATATGATTGCTTTGGAATAACTACCTTGTTTCTTCAAAAGCTTTTTTGAAGAAATGTATTGAGTTTGTTTCTCTAGGATTTTGAAAAATTCAAGGTTCCTCAGTACATATCCTGAATATGAGAAGAGAAGAGTTTTAACTTCTGTGTGTAATTGTAGAACTTGCTTACAATATTAAACTTAATTTTAGACCCTGATGTAAAAATTGGCAATGGAAAATGTATATATACATTTACATATATTAGGTTCTTATTACATTATTTAAAAACAAGAAATTTGAAAGCCCTAGTCTTAACTGTTCACAAGTTATGGCCAAGGTTAAATTTGGGTATTTTTCTGTAAAAGTTGGTCAAATTGCAAGGTCAAGGTTAAGAGGTCAAATTTGGTGGTACCCCCAGGAAAGGTCTTGTCATAAGGAATACACTTGTAAAATATTAAAGTCATAGCCCCATTCACAAAAGTTATGGGTAAGATTTAAGTTATTGCAGACAAACAGACAGCTAGACTGACAGGCAGATTGACAGGGCAAAAACTATATATTTCTGAATTGGCAATAACTTGTGTATAAAAAATGGTTCTAATATCTTAGATATAGGAAAAGAATTTTGTAAATTCATGCTGCATTTATAAATTTTGTTGATTTTCTTATTTTAATGCAGTGTTATTTTTAGAAAATTTAATAGAAAACAAAGGTATATGATTATCTGTATATAATGGAAGGATACAGAATATGTATTTCATTATTAACAAAAGAAATGAAAATGGTTTCACAGATGAATATTTAGCAATGCCCTGAAATATCATTATAATCAGCTTTTTGATATTTCAGCCAGACGAAAATTAGGTTCTTTATTAGCATACTTTATATTAAGCTGTTATGCAATTTCATATTTGTAAATAAAAGGTTCATTAAGATAAATTAAATTTTCCCTACATGTGCAATGATAAGAGTGGTTTTATAATTTCATAATATCAATGATTTATTAGCAATATACCACATAGTCCTTAGATGATTTATTTCCAGGGCAGTAGCATGCAGGGAAAATAAAAAAAAAATCCTTGAACATTTGTTTTTGTTTAACTGCATGTTCAAATGTTCCTTGTTTTCCAGATGGTGCAGCATTTAGCAAACCATGGGGCCAACAGTATCTGGGAACATTCACTGCTAGACCCTTCACAGAGTAAACATGGCAAAAAGAAGCCAGGTCCCAGAGACCAAGTTCAGTAAGTGTAGAAGTCTGAAAGGAACGAAACTGTTAAGTGATGGTTTTCTGGCTCAGAAATAACAACATTAAATTAGTACAACACCCACTATGAAACAAGATTAAAATCTGATCAAGAGCTGGTGTGTGTGAGTCAGTGACATAAATCATCAGATTTCTGTTGGAAGGAAAATATCTTAAGATATTTTTCAAACTATACTACTGAGAAAACTCATGCAGTGACCCATTTTACTGTGGAGTATACAGGGAAAATTTTGTCCCTCACTTATTTTTGCCTTTATCACCCTTATTCTTCATCATGTTCATTGAAATGATATTTAATGTATAATAAAAGCTTAACTTCTGTATGGAACTCTATGTGGTAAAGAAGGGAGTAACTAATTAAATCTGTATCAAATATTTTTTTGAATACAGTACATATGTTTTGTTTACAGAAAGCAAGTTGTTCCTCTATAGATGTCTATATTTTTTTATTTCAGTCCTGTGAAGACAGAATTTATAAGGTCCAAATACCAGTTCTTACAGTTTGTAAACAAACAGAAGGACGGAGAACTCAATTCAATAGATGATTTGAGCAAGGTACAGTTTTAATGCTGGAGAAAATTTATGTATCATACAGGAAAAAACTAACTTACTTCCTGATTTAATTTTAACAATATTTTATTATGAATAATCACCAAAGGATTAGACAGCAGGCACTGCCTCTAAATAGGATAAAATTCAAGTGTATAAAAAAATTGATCAATCCTCCCCTTCCCCTATAAAGGGTTTTCATTATTTATAAATGATTCTATTTCTTTTTCCTTATTAAATAGGGGACAATGGAAACTTTTAATAAATATCTTTAACAAGACTTCTAAAGTTTGAATTAAAAATAATAAAAGAATCAATGATTTTGTCTGTGTAAATTGGCACCAAGAAATTTTCATAAACAATTGCAATGTTTTTCATTGAGTAAGAAAAAATGTTTTCCTTTTTTCTTTGAAAATACTACCTATATATTTCACATACCATCGTGGCAGATAAAAAATATCAATAGCTAGTCTTTTTTTTTCTTTTTTTTTTCTTTGATTGAATAGATTAATAATTATCCAACTAAGTAAACTGCATGGATATTAGATTGTTAATGATTTGACAACTTCCTTCTTGACATAATATTGAAAAAAATGATTAAAGCAGGACAATTTTTAGTCACCCCCCCCCCCCCCCCCCCCCCCCCCCCCCCCCCCCCCCCCCCCCCCCCCCCCCCCCCCCCCCCCCCCCCCCCCCCCCAAAAAAAGCACAGAAAATTGATCTTTTTAAAAATTCTTGATTATTTTTACTTATTTTAAAGCAGTCTGATTTAATATGTTGTCATAGGATTGATTAACTAAGTTTTATTTGTTTCGTATATGATTCCTTTATTTATTATTTACAAAAACTTTTACAGCAATTACACTCCAGTGTGAGAACAAATAATCTAGAAACATGTTTACGTCTTCTGTCAAAAGGAGCAGATCCAAATTATTTTCATCCAGTAAGTGTGATTCAGAAAATTTACATCAAGTAACTTTTATCATATAAAATTTCCCTTTCTCATTGAAAAAAAATTAACATGATATATAATAAACTTTTATTTTCCATTGCTCAGGAGAAAGGAAATTGTCCGCTACATGTGGCAGCCCAGAGTGGTCAGCCATTACAGGTGGAGCTACTTGTTGTGTATGGAGCTGATCCAGGGGCATACGACTCCAATGGAAAAACTCCCATTGATCATGCCAAGTAAGAGTTATCTTCCATATAACATGTCACTCATGGTTAAATTACTCTTTTAGCATTTCAAACCAGTAATGTTCATTTGATTTCAAGAAATTAATTCAGTGATTTGTTATGGATTAACTTATACTGATATGCAATTTTTAACAATTAATTTTTTTTAAAAATTTGTATTTATTTTATTTTTCTATTTCAAGAGCTGAGGGTCAGATGGATTTAGCAGACAGACTTGTTGAATGTCAATATGAATTGACTGACAGACTGGCATATTATCTCTGTCAGCGAAAACCTGGTAAAAAAATAATGGGTAGACTTTACTTTACGGGTCCCCAGATCCGCAAGATCCTCGCGCTCATTGGACTATGACGTAACAACTACATCACTCAACTGAAATGGGTTAAATTTGCACACTATTCGACTGATAATTAACATGAGAGATTAGGGTTAGTCCTTGCACTAGTATTCGACTGATTAGGGTTAGTCTCGCGTCCATCTGAGAAATTAGGGTTAGTCCTCGCACATTATTCGACTGATTAGGGTTAGTTTAGCATCTGCCCGGGAGATTTCGTCTGAACGTCTTAGTCCTTGCATACCATACGATAGATTAGGGTTAGTGAATCGTTGATTTAGTTAAGTTAAGAAATTCAGTTGCTTCTGTAATTTTTCGAAGATCATAATTCAGATTCAAAGCCATTTCCTTCGTTTGTTTACATGGAAGATGGCTAAGTCCGTATGACATTAACATACACGCTGTATATAAATTTTTTCCATGAATAAACAACTATTTATTAATTTTTTCAGGAACTTAAAAACTTTGTTTAAAAACAAAGTATATTTTAACCGTAGAATTCAATTTTGTGTAAAAGGCCAAAAAACCTCGTATTTAAAATTTTTTTCATCGCTCAGTCTCATATATACTGAAGTCGCCTTCGGCGACACTACATTTTAGCGCGATTTTCTGGGGACCGGTAAAGTAAAGTCATTCCAAAATAATTTATTTTCCTGTTGTAATTGGAGGTAAAAAATATCTCTTATGATTCCAAGTATTTTAATAACATGAAAATATCATGATTTTTTTCTTTTTATTTCCAGACCACAGAACAGGAATTCATTTTAAGATACCTGAAATGGCAGACAGGTACTCTATTAAAAAATGAATTTTTATACAAAATCCACATAATAGCTACATGTATATAGTTAAGATAAAAACAGATTTATAACTGGATTCTTTTTGGACTAGAGACATATATTTTCATATATTTTGTTTTTTATTTTACAGTAGTTTAGATATGTCAGAATTAGCAAAACAAGCCAAGAAAAAGTTACAAGCAGTAAGTATTATTTTTAGTATAGATATACCGTAAGTCACTTTTTATTTGCGATATGTTTACATGTGCTCAACATGTCGTTTATATTGGTATTGTTATAGATTATATAGAGTAATAACCACAATTTGTGAAAATTTTGTCTTGCTTATAAAGAGGCAATTACTGTCTATAGAAAATAAGTTTTCATGAAAATTTATTTCTCTACAGTAGATATTCAACAATAGTCAACAAGACACAGGTTGAATATTTGAATTTTTTTTTTTCAAGCTTCCAAATCACTTATTTGAAGAATTAGCAATGGATGTTTATGATGAAGTTGACAGAAGAGAAAATGATGAACGTAAGAGTTTTAATAAATATCAGTCCACTTTCAAGAAAGAAAAAAAAAATCAAATTTTTCATTGTATCGAAGTTTGATGTATTATTTTATAATTTATGACTTCCTTTGTACAGATTGGCTACAGACGCACGACAACAAAGCTCTAGTCAGTGACCGACAGGGGGTGCCTTTTCTCCCTCTTAACCCAGATTTTTCGGCCACACGCAATCAGGTATAATAGAATCTTTGTCAGTCATCTTGCATTATTCCAAAAAATAAGTTATTGTAGAAATTTTACAAGAGGTACATATATACTTACATGTATATACAAAAATTACATTCTTGACAAAGAAATTAATTCTTATAAATTGTACAATTATGTATTAACATTTCATCTGAAATTATTTTTCTCCACTATAGGGACGTCAGAAACTTGCCAGATTCAATGCAAGAGAATTTGCCACACTGATAATAGACATTTTAAATGATGCAAAAAGAAGACAGACAGGAGTTGTGTCCCCTGTCCAGACTTTAAAGGAACCGGGTAGGTAGACTTTGATTTAAATTCAATTTAAGGGATATTGTAAAATACTTGACGAACATATGATTCTTGATTATCTCAGGTTCACACATGAGGCTGGACAACTGTAGTACATGTGATATTGAGTTATGGTTATTTACAAAGTTGAGACATAGATTAAATCTCTTGATAAACATAGTGCATAGGTTTTTTTGGTGTCTTTTCAATAGGCATTTTTTATGAATAAATCCAAACAATGAGCATTAGTGTATTTTGTTTGATCTTGTACACCTACCACTCACAAAGTCATTCCCCTCAAAAGGCAAGGTGGACAAGGGTGTCTAATTAGATTTCGTCAAATGTTTATTCCAATCGGTACTAATTTTTGTCTGATCCTTAAAAAAAAGTTAGCCTCAGTGAACTTTAAAAAGTTGCCAACCTTTGACCTTTAGAATGGATCATTAGGTATGATTTTTTTCTTTTGAAAAAAATACAGATTTTTAGCTATCAGGTTTTGTTGGATTACAAATCATAGGGATTTTCATAGGGTTACTAAATGTATATAAACGCCTCCTATTTTTATGCCACTAATTGATAAAGACAAAATAAAAATAGAAAATGAAACAAATCATTATCCTGACAACTTGAAACTTAAATAGAAAATCTATTTCAAGATGACTTGAAAAAAAGGTTGGGTCAAGGGCATTTTTAATAGATTGGTCTGCTACAGTAAAGAAACAATTGTTTCACTTCAGACATGATATATTTTCTTAGTCCTCCAAGGGCAAAATGTATGAAGTAAATGAGAAATATTCTACTTTATCTTTAAACATAACTGTTTATCAATTAACAGTTTTAAATGGAACAAAGAATTCCTGGAGCCTCATTTAACAAAAATTGAACAGTATAGAAAAATGATTTATCACCCTTGTATTATGGAATAAACTAGCACATTAGTGTCTTTAATGAAGTACCAGGGAGTTTAAAAGTACAGTTGTCCAAGGTCACAGGCCTCAAGGTTTTGAGGGCAGAGTAGTTAAATATTACCTAGAAGTTTTAAATAGAAAAATATTTTTAAATAAATCAGAAGTGAGTAGGATGTCTATGTTTCTTTTTGCTTGTTGCCAAATGTTTGAATTGTGTACTTTATAAAACTACAAGTCATATCACCATGAATTTTAGAATTATTTTGACATGTTTCAGTTTAATCTTTTATTAATTAACAAATAGACCTTTGCTGTAAATTTGATTGACTAGGGAATTTCATAAGCCTATTAGTCCATGACCTTGTGAATGTTGGCGGAAAACTTTAACCCTCAGAGTACAGATTGTTTATCAATAATATGTCATGACATTTTGATTATTCTCATTCACCTACATGTACAGTGTGTAAAATATTTTTCGTTATTTTTGCTTAATCCCTTAAACTTCTTGCTCAATGAATAGAATTTGTTGATGATGTGTGTTTATTTACTTTATTCTATACTCAGCTGTGTGTAAATCAATTTTACTGTTGATTTCATGTAATCACGTGATGGTGTGATCACCACTCTGGTTTTTGAATCCACATCAACCCTCTCTTTAACTTACACAATAAACATCACATTTTTTCTTGCATATCAAAACATTCTTGACAAAACAATGTGTTTAATGGACAAAAGTTATTTAATTGATCACAAAAGTCATCTTTGATTATATTTTGTTAGTTAAAAGGGGGTATATAATAAATTCATCATAATAACAGTAACTTGATCTAAGGAGCCGTATCACGTCTCGTTGACAGATACAGATTATCAGATCAAACTCAGTGCTTCAGGTCGTGTTTGATCTCAATAGAACTTGACAACTTGATGTGATAGGACATGAAATGTTTCTTTTTAATGAAATATGAAGATAACAAGCAGAAATCAAGCTCAAGAGCCCATTTAAAAAATACAAATTGGGAGTAGAGAAAAGAGGGACCTCTAAAAACATCAGAGATAGGATCAGGTGCCATGGAGGAGTGAACAACCCATGTAAACCAGTCACAATGACTGTATGCTTGTTTATGAATCAACTTCACTAGGCATTTCATAAAGTAGGATTACAATTTGCATGGTTATCAATATCTCTGTTTTGCTTTGAAATACAAGATGTAGAGTCTCAACTCTGAGAGAACTCGATATCCCGGATATCTTGATAGTTTCCATTAGTCCTGCTAGTATCAAGATACTTATGTTTACCTGTTCATGTACATTCCTTCCTTTTTTCCAATATTATTGATTAATTAGCAAATTGACTTTGAATAAAGGCATCTTGTTAAATTGCTTGAAAGTCAGATAAGAAGTACCAAAATGAGCTGCTTTAAATCTCATTTTAAAGAAGTCATATTTTTTGAAACATTGAAAATAGCACTTTAAATATATAATTATGTACATATATTTTCTGCATGGATGAGTGCTGAGCTATTTCTTAGGTACATATATCTGTAACAATTTTGTTACATAAACATGCATAGAAGATGGTGATGCGAAGTGCTTACTGAGTATAGTCATGCTTCAAATGCTGTCATTTATACTCCAGAACACACCCTATTACCGGCAACTGCGACAACCGATGCAACTGTGACAACTTCAAGCAAGTTTATTGCCTGTAGAGACAACTATGAATGGTTGGGAAGTGAATAAAATATACATTTTGGCTATTTCAAGTATTGGGTAGTGAAAGGTAGTTGATTGACCAATGCTTGAAAGTGGAGAAATTTTCCCCAAAAGTACCATACATATGACCAATATTAACAGCCAAAATATGTCTTGAGGAGATGTGATGCTTACCAGGATACAGCTAATTTATACTTTATTCAACTTTGTATCCACTTTTTCTGATTGACGTATTTCGTTTTAAATCTGCTGTCATTGTTTGCCTCGTCTGTTGTACACGATAGCCAAAATGATTTCACCGAACAAAATTAAACGCTTGTGGCGCTTTTATTAAGCAACAAAAATTATCCATATTTTGAAGTAATGCTTCAAAAAGTCTAAATTTATTATATCCAACAAGAAATGTGAGCAAAGAATACCAGTTTTTATCATATAAGCTCAATTTGACCAATTTTTCCTGCACTGCCATTGAAATTTAGCTTTATTTTGTTCTTATTTTGTTTCAATAAGGAATCAAAGTTTTATATTTAACAGAAAAATAGTTTAAGGTTAGATCAAAACGGTAAGCCACAAAAAGAAAGTAAATGAATGTTATAAATAGTCAAAATTATGATATCAATGAGGTCTCTGTCATAGTGATTGATAACTTTGCCGTCTGTTGTCACAGTTGCATCGGTTGTCGCAGTTGCCGGTAATAGGGTGTGCAGAAGCTATTTTAATTCCATCAGACTTGCAAAAAATTTCTTTTAAAAATAGCTGTCCGAAGGCATAAGCAAATTCAATGCAAAGCAATACCAGAGCGTTTACCTTCTTTACTTGAACATTGTACATACAGCAACAATGGGGTATTGACCTTAAAACTCTGTTTACATTTGTTTCTTATCTTTACCTGTCTTGTTGTGGAATTTATAAAGCATAAAATATGCAATCTTATTTCAAAATATTATATTTTATGTTCATAAAGAAATGGAAATTAAAGTGCATTAAGAATCATTTTAAAATGCTTTTTTAATGAAAGGGTTTAAATAAAAAATATTTTGATAAAGTTGTTTACATTCAGAAAGTCCTTAGAGAAAGTGACCTTGGGTTTTTGATAATGTATTTTTTTGTGCCTATTTGCCACAGATAAGCTGTTTTTATGACCAGAGGCATTAAACATAGGTATAAATTCTTTAATAGACTTATCTTATACATCTTTGTAAATTCAAGGTCTCTCTCAGACAGAAGAGACATAAATATGCAGGGTTTTTGGCTCTGGTAATGATGTGATGGTGCTCATTAATTATCTTGTTTTGGACTCACCCGTTTATTGAACAGTGCAAGACATAAAGATCACAAGAGTACAAAGAAAGCAGTTTGATCGCGGACAGATGATCTGTGATATACTATTACAAAGATAAACCCTATCCGTCAGATTGTGATGAGTAGGTCATACTATCGGTGGAGGTCAGACACATTTTACGCTTGAAAACCTCCCCACACTGTCAGTCGGCTTTTACCAGTGATTTAAGATTTAATTTGCCTTGCTATGACAGAGGCAGTTTAAAGGTTTAGTCTTCCAATCTCCATCTCAAATTTCAATGATTCCACCCTACTGCAGGTTGTGTAGGAATCAAGTCTGTGTCCTGTTATCAGTATATATAGAGACAGGTGCCTGTAGTGATCAGGGGTCAGGGAACTGTCTTCTACAAACAGCGCTCACCTCAAGGAGCCCTTAACGGCTTTAAAATCATATATGCATCTAGGTTGACACTATTTTGTGTTAGAAGTGTGAGCCACATAGGATGTGCATACTAGATGCTTTAAGTTTTGTCTTCTGAAAGAGAGGAATTTATAGAAATTTTCCCTTTTATTATAGAGGTAAGGTACGTGCAACTTGGGGCATCAGTGCATATAATTTTTTTTATGTCATTGGAAGTGCAGAGTTTGTTTTGATGATAAAAATTAATGATATGTAATTTTAAGGGACAGTTGTTGCTTAATTAATTCATGTAGCCCAGTTCCTGATTTTCCTTTTAACCTTTTAAGAGCATCAATTTCAACTGGAAAAAAAAACTTGGCAATGTAAATAAAAATTAATTTAATGAACAGAAATTTTGAGGTAGACTAGTTTTGAATGCTACAACAAAATTAATATTGTTGGAAGTTGAAAACTGTTACATTCTTGGTCAATTATCTAAATGTCATCCTCTCATCTGATATTTGAGAGTAAATGAATAGTAATCATGTTATATATTTTGCTTGATTTTTGGGGATAAAAAATAAATGAAATGGTCAGAATATTGTATTTATTTATAAATAAATAAATTTGGATTAGTATTTCACCTGATTTTCCCCTCTGGAAGATATGAATTACATGTAATTATATTTTTTTTTTCAAAGAAAGATCATTAATAATTGTACGAAAAAGACATAGAAAACCCTGAAGACCCAAGTCCTGATTGAATTGTCAATAGTTGTCATGGAAACAGGGAAAATTGAAAATTCTTTAACTTTGATTTTTAAGTCAAAGTACTGAAAGGACTGATGCAAGTTGATGGTTGTCCAATATTAGTTAATGGGTATTGTTTTAGTGATGATACTAAAACAGAATTTTTATAAAAGGCTAGTTGTACATGTAACTTAAATTTTGGATTTTTCAAAGGTTTATTTACTAGCTTATTTCCCCTTGGGTCCTTTATTGCACTTATGTTGTGCGTTAAAGGTCGGTTAGTCTCCCATCTTTCTGAGTTTAGCATGTTATACTAGTACACAGTGATCCACAAGTAATTTCTATGGTGATTTTGAGTGCTTGGAATCATTACATTGTAGACAAACTGCCTGGTGGTCAAGTGGTCCAAAGAAAGAACAACTTTAACAGCATTGTCAGTGATGAGGAACCAATTTATGACCAGGTGGCATCAGATGAAGACTACAGCAGTATTGATAATCTCAGCATTAAGAGTGCGGGCATGAAGGACAGCTCTCTCGCCCACCCCCCAGCCGTAAGTATCCACTCTGGTGACCATGGTCACGCTTCACACAGGCAACCAATCACATTTTTGCAATCATGTTACATTTTCATTTTTTCCTGATTACAGAATGGACTGGATTAATACTCTATTCAAAGTAGACTGTGATTTTTTAAAATATGTTTAATGAGCAAAATATAAGAAATTACTGTAGAATCACAAATTTTCGTGGGGATAAAATTTCGTTGATTTGTCATCAAAAATAGTTTCGTTGGCATTTAATTTCGTTGTTTTGAATGTAATCCTATTCAATATATGGTCATATAAAATTTCGTGTGGGATTTAATTTCGTTGATAATTGTTAACAACGAAATAAACGAAATTTAATCCCCCACGAACATTTGTGCTTTTACAGTATGCTATGGTGAATATTATAGGGTAAACCGGTTGCAGCTTTAACTTTGCTAATGTATAGTAAATGCATTATTACTTCAGATACTAAGTAGTTAGGCTCTGATTAAGTTAAGTAAATGTAAAGACAGACAACAGAAATGACACTGAATTCTGACTTTGTTTTAGAGCCCAGATAATGATTCTGATACACTGTTAAAATCAAGTGTTCAGGAGGTGAGACGTAGTCTCTTAATTTTACTCACACATTGTCCAGCTAAAATTTAGTGTAGAGACTCTCATAAAACGAGATGTAGATGTTAACATAGAATTATTTGCAAATAGTAGCAATGCTAAGTTTTAGTATACTGTTATGTAGAATAGTAACAGTGCTTCAAATAACAACAGTTTATTGCATTTTTTAGACACTCAACCTTGATTGCTTGCTGTACATGCTGTACATGTCTTGCATAAAGTTGTTTTGGAATGAGTTTGTAGAAATCATGCTATAACACTGATATTAATATGTTATATTCAGTCAGAGAAATAAACTTCAAATGTACTATGCACAGTAAAATTTTCACTAGAAAATCATTTAAAGTTGAGTAATAATTATTCAAATTTTAAATGTAAGTTCTGGATAGAAATGGTATAACTATCACATTGGTTATCACTAATACATTATGATTGCTTTTGTGACACATTGATTATCATATTCTGGTATTTTTTCTCTCATTATAATGAAATATTTGTTGCAAGGAAGTCACATTCCCCTATAAGACTGAAAAGTTTCAGTTTAGAAAGATATAAAATCTTTTACCTTTCCAATGATAAGCAGGTTAAACTGTATTTCAGTAAAAACACATTTAAATATCAATTTATAAACAAGTCATGTTATTATAATGATCACTCAGATTCCAAGGAAAAGCACCCGTCGGCTGAATTCTGTGGGCAATCTCCGGTCCGAAGGGGACCTTATACAGGATAACGTTAGACATTTAACGCCATGTGTGAGTTGTTATCCCAGCTTGACCATTCATCTGAAATTGCTTGATTAATTTCTATTTCATTTTCTGTTAACATCATCTTGAAAAGATCTCAGAATCAAACTTTAATCGTCAATGCAAACTTCAGTATGCATTTTAAACAATCTTTATATATAAATGTGGACTGTGTTCTGAAACCCAGATTCCAAGCAAAAGCCTGAGAATTAAGTCCGTTGGACAATTAAGGTCGTATGGTGACCTTATAAGGTCACACAGAAGGGTTAGTCTGTCCCCACATGTGAGTTTACAGTAATACAGTAGAACATATTCATGCCTAGAGGTTTATTTATACATCTACACATTAACCACTGTTCTACAGTACTCTTATACAATGTCTTTCAATATTTCACTTTATCATTTACAGGACAAGATTTGTTTAGTATAATGAATTACATGTCGACTGTAAACATACTTTTTCACACGAGTATAATTTTGTGATTTCACAATTTTTCTTCAATTCATGGGTAGAAAATTGTGCAGATTTCTTGGGTTACAATTGTTTATCTTAGTATGATGCTCTTTCAGTACATTGGGATAAGTTTCCACAGAAAATTTCAAACTCTGTGTGTAACATAAATTAATCCCACTGGGGAAAAAGTATGTACATGTATGCAGTAATTTTCATGATTTCACTGATGCCTATCTGTATTTTTGCTCTTATTTAAATCTTTACTTTGAAATTGTGATTAAATGTAAGATTCAGTTGAAGGTATTTATTTCTTTAGACTATGATTTAATGAAATTAGATGGAAATAAATTCGATTCCAATAGTTTACATTTTATTAAGTATATTGTATATCGTATGATTACAGGTACAATGTTTTTCTGTGAAATTTGTAAAATTTCTTTATCTTCTGATGTTTAGCATGTCTATTGTATTAATCTAATAATTCTGATTATGTCAATTTACTTTGATATAGTACAGTATGTGACTTCAATAAAAAAACAGTTTCAGTATACTGTAAATAAGTTTATGATATCCATTAATGCAATGATTAATAAATTTAATGATTATAATCCATGAAACAAGAACCATATGAATTTTTTCACAGTACTAATATTTTAACCAGTTCTTTATGATTCTTTCTTGAATATATTAGAAATGAAGCATTTTTTAATTTCGCCCATGTGACATAGCATTCTATGAATAAATGACCTATTTTGCTAATTCCCAGCCCCCCACTGTCCCAGAGGCCATGGTGGAGGGACCTGTCTCCACGGAAGAATTCCTCCAAATGAAGAAAAAAATGTCCACCATGGAGTTCAGGATGCAGCAGATTCTCAAAACCAATCAAGATCTCCAGAAGGAAAGGGACGATCTCACTCAGCTGGTAAGGAAGTCTGTACAATTAATACAATATAACAAGAACTGGTAAGGAAGTCTGTACAATAATTACAATATTGCACAAAACTGTAAGGAAGTCTGTACAGTTAATACAATTTGTGACACGATAGCTGTGTTTTTCTTTGAAGTTTACTGTTCTGTATTAGCAATACAAAACGGGACTGTGGTGGACAGAGCTACTTTCCGTTCTGTATTAGCCCTGTATACAGTATTGTATTTGCCAACTATTCTGTATCTAAAATACAAAACGGTCTAAAAATAAATCTGATTCAATTTAGCAAAAGCACTTACAAATAGTAAATGCTGATGTTTTCCTATTATAATTTTGGAGAAATACCCAGTATTTTCCTGAGAATGTAAAATGTCAAAATTTCTCAATCAGTTTTTAAAAACTTATTCCACACAGAATCTACACGTAATTTTGATCCAAAGTAAAATGAAAATTCGCAATAACGGAAAACGTCCTCTGTACGTAATTTCGATCCAATCGAAACAGAAAATTCGCAATTACGGAAAACATCCACTCTCCTTGTGCAAAATCATTCAAGTCCATTTTTTCCGCGTTTTTATTTTTTCAAATCCTTCTCGCTGACGACAGCCACACATCTCTTTCATTTCGTTTTCAATGTCGCAATTCAAATTGAAAATAAAATCCGTGACATCAAAGTCCACCGAAGAATTTTCTGTAAATCCTGTTTTAGTTAATCTAGTTAAACTGGGATTTTAAGACCCCTGAAATAAATTATGATAAATCTCCATCTACAATAGATCACAACAATGATGGTTAAATCCTCCAATTTATCCATTAAGACTGACTATCACTCGATTACGTCTACCCCGTTAAATTGTCAAAACTAATCTGACCGAATTTTACGTTTTCTGTGGAAATATATATACAGCGGATGCGTACTCCCCGTCGGGGCCTCATCTACAGAACTCTGGCGAAAGTTTGGATGCTGCAAAGGTTATAAAATGGGCGGAGCTATTTTTGATTGATCTGTCACAAATCATTTACTCGACAGGTTGTATATAGATACAAATTTGGGGGTGGAGACTCGTGCTGCGCACTCGTATCCACCCCCAAATTTGTATCTACGATACAGAACCCGTCTCGTTCTCTAAATAATACATAGCTCAAAACTGGTAAGGAAGTCTGTACAATAATTACAATATAGCAAGAACTGGTAAGGAAGTCTGTACAATAATTACAATATAGCTCAAAACTGGTAAGGAAGTCTGTACAATAATTACAATATAGCTCAAAACTGGTAAGGAAATCTGTACAATAATTACAATATAGCAAGAACTGGTAAGGAAGTCTGTACAATAATTACAATATAGCTCAAAACTGGTAAGGAAGTCTGTACAATAATTACAGTATAGCTGAAAGCTGGTAAGGACTTATGTACAATAATTACAATTTAGCACAAAACTGATAAGGAAGTCTGTACAGTTAATACAATATAGCTCAAAACTGGTAAGGAAGTCTGTACAATAATTACAATATAACACAAAACTGGTAAGGAAGTCTGTACAATAATCACAATATAGCAAAAACTGGTAAGGAAGTCTGTACAATAATTACAATATAGCACAAAACTGGTAAGGAAGTCTATACAATAATTACAATATAGCACAAAACTGGTAAGGAAGTCTGTACAATAATCACAATATAGCACAAAACTGGTAAGGAAGTCTGTACAATAATCACAATATAGCACAAAACTGGTAGGGAGGCCGTACAATAATCACAATATAGCAAGAACTGGTAAGGAAGTCTGTACAATAATTACAATATAGCACAGAACTGGTAAGGAAGTCTGTACAATAATCGCAATATAGCTCAAAGCTGGTAAGGAAGTCGGTACAAATATTACAATATAGCACAAAACTGGTAAGGAAGTCTGTACAATAATCACAATATAGCACAAAACTGGTAAGGAAGTTGGTACAGTATCATAATTCTAGAACTAATGAAAGAGAAACAAATTTTATATAATCATCAGGAAAGTGTCTAGGAACAGATTTTATACAATAGACCAGGAACTAACGTGGAATAATCTCATGCATTATTATTCATACACACTGAGAGATGAGAATCAGCTCACATTTATTTGGATATCATATGAAAATAAAATAAGGAAGTGTTGAAAGTTTTTATTGCACTTTACTATATGTTTTGAGTAACGAATATGATTAATATTTACCAGCTAGATAATCAGTGAAAAAGTACATTAATGATTAACTCTAAAAACTTGAATAAATAAATGAAACTTCAGTCATTTGACAAATATTTTTTTATTGAACTGAAATAGGTTCAGACACTTACAAAAGAGATATCTATACTGAGGAATCAAGCCCAGCATCAGGCGAGTCCACCAGCCACCTTACCGAATGGTTACAGCCAGGATCGGGGAGAGGAGGGTGCTCGGACGAGTATTCCGAGGGCGGGGACGCGCCCACAATCAATGTTTGAGCCGCGGGAAAGGGAGCAGCGATTATCTAATAAAGTAAACAACCTAAATACTGCCAAAAATCTAATATACAGAAAACAAATATGCATGTTTTTGTTTGAGTCTCCATTACAAGTGGCTTATGTTGGATTATGATCCAAGTGAATAATTGTGTGTCATTTCTTGTCTTTTTTTAGACTCCATCCAAAGAATTACTGCCCACAGCCTATTCTGTATCCAATATCAACAAACCAGATGAATCTGAGGTAGATGAAAATTAGTTTAAGTTGAAATAAAATATAAAATAATTCAGGGATTTAAATTTACAATTCAAAATCAATTTTAGATGTTTTAAATGATATTTTGTATGATTTTCAGTCTAACCGTGTGCAATCTTCAAGTTCTGGGTCTGTAGCAGAGGAAATTCAGATGGCCTACCCCCCAGATCTCTCCCACTATGACTGTCCCAGCTCACTGCCAGTAGCCATGGATGAGGACCTCCCCTCTCAAGAGGAAGTCATGAGAAAGACCGAAAAAATCACCAAAAATATTCAAGAACTGTACAAATCTGGCCAGGATGGCAAACATGATAGGTAAGGACCCAGTGTTATAGATGTGCTCTCAAATATACAAATGAAGTCATAAGCATGACTGTTACAGTAGATATTTCATTAAACTGTATTTTATGTACCATAATCTACATACCAGCTACCTAGGTACTTTTATTATACTGGATCTTTTTGTAATAAAAATACTCTTTTCATATACTCCAGAATCAACAATTATAGAAATAATTTTTTTTGAATGTTTGTGTATAAGAATCTGACCAATATTATTTATCTTTATTTATAGCTTTGGGCAATGTGCTGACAAAATCTATGAGGCAGTGAAAGAAATGGCAGCATTGTTTCCAAAGGTATAGGAATAGTACTTCTAATAATTTTCTGTATTGTTTGTAGGTCAGTCTATAGAAGGATATGTTTGAACTAGATAAATGCACACCATAAAAGAACACAAAAAAAAAACAATAACAACAACCAAAGAAAAGGACCCCCCACCCCACCCCCTCCCAAAAAAAAAAAGAAAAAAATTTGATGAAAATTTGTTAAAACATATGTGTTGGTCATTGTGTAATGTAAAAAGACCATGTACAACTGTAAGAAAAAAATATGTATATGAACCCTACCATTACAATATTATAGTATATTTAATATCATAATGATATTCAACACTGTAACAAAGCATAACTGACTATTGTAAACAGTTGTTATTTCATAATTTTTCCTGCATTTCACATATTTGTAGCAAATTTCTTGAACAATTCTGAAGCCATTTAACAAAACCGCATGACTTGACCAGCACCAATGATTTAGCAGAGTTTGACATACTTTACATTCACTTAATTCATCTTTTTAGAACCCAAGAATCAGCACAGTTCGACACGCGCTACATTTACTAACATCGAGTGCTGCTCGCCTACAAGAAGAATGTCAGGACGGAATCATGGGTGACCTTGACCCTGACCTCGATCTTCCATTTAAAACTCAGCAAGTGATGCAGTGTGCTTTTGACATTGCCAGAGCTGCTAAAGAACTTGTTACTCTGTTTCAGTGATGATTTTCAAATGACTTCTTCAGTTACAGATCTGATCTGAGTAAGTTGTACAAGGAAGACTCTTGGGGGCTCCAGGGAGGGAGTCTGAGATAGAAATTGGTGCCAAATATAACGCTTTGTTTAGAATGTTGATTCAAGATGTTTGACTTACCCCCCTTTATGTTTGTCATTTCATTTGAAATTATGGCATTTCTCTGTTCAGTTGTTTTACTTGATAAAATTGTTTTTAAATGTAAGATAGGTTTCATTTTGCTTGTGTGATTAAGAAAAAAACATCAAGTTTTATTTATAGTGTCATTAAGTTATTAAAACAAAAGTAGCTTTAGTAGAATTTACTCTGCCATTCTCCAGAAATAAAAATGAAAATGTTTTTCAGTGAATTTTACATTCTGGGTATTTTTTGGAACAAATTTTAAGTTTGGTAATGTCTCAATATACATGTACATCAAAATTCCAAAATACAGAAGTATTTTATATTTGTGTATGTATTTGTGTAGGGATTGGTAAAGTAATATTATTTCAGCTGCTTACTCTGAAGAAATGGGAGACAGATACATGTACATGTAATATGATGCAATATTTAAAAAAAAAAAACAGTTTTGCAATAAGTGTTTACCTGTGCCTTGGTTTGTTTCTGCCAAATAGTTTATGGAAAGACAGAAAATATCAGTATTATGTACATTATCATCAATCTCTGTTACCGAAATAAGAACATTTGTCTGCTAGTTGTTGGCATTACATTTACAAATAAGAGCACCTGTTTACTTTATATTTTCTGTGGAAATCAAAATTCCCATCTGTCTCTTCCTGTACTTAGAAGTCTGTATTACAAACTTGGTTTTTCCTCTGTAAAACAAAGAAGTGTTTTAAAGCACAATGCATGTGATTGGTTATCATTATTTTGTATATACAGAATTGTACATTTAATTAGAAGGGAAAAAGATACAATTAAAATTTTCATGTGTAAATTACGCAGCATTAAAATATACAATGTAAATGTAATATCTAGACTTGAGCAAAATTACTGCATGATATTAAAATATATAGGAGTTGAAAATGTATACTGTGATATATCTAGTGTAGAATATCTATGAGAATATGTCATTATTTTTTAAAATTTATTGAGCTAATTGTATAGTTAAAGTGAAGAACAGTTAATAAACTGTAGACTGTATACAGGGAAATTTTTGCCCCCATTATAATTTCGCCTCTTTCACCCTTACCTCGGTTGAGTGAATTTAAAAGGGGGGAATTCAAAGAATACAGTATAATTTCTTAAACAAAACTGTGACTAGGCAAATTTAAAACAGGTCAAAAGTTTGCAAGGGTGAAAGAGAAAAAATAAAGGGGGGCAAAAATAACCCTGCATACACTAACAATCAAGGTGGCCCTCCAAGATGGTAGGAATTTGAAAAGTAATACACATGTACTGAATTTCATTTTGAATTAAGTAGTTTATTTGTACCAATTGGAATTGAAAATTCATTTTACATTATGTTCTGTAGTTCATCAAACAAGCTTGAACTACCACAAATGTTGTGTATGTAATTATTTGTATTATTACATGTGCGTACACTTTGCAATTTTTTTTTTACCTGTGTAATGGAGCTCATCATGCATGAAGCTCAGAATTGAATCTAGTCATATTGGTTCATTTTTGTAATCAGTCTATATTTATTTAGTCACCAGAATCTGGAGAACAGAGTGTACAGATAAGGAACATATCACATCCTTGCATTATGTTTGTTAATTATTGATGTCATCGCCAGTAATTGTCTGTATTCAAGTTTACAGTGATTGTTAACATAATCATTGGGCCAAATTCTTTTTTTTTTAAATTGGAAAGGGGGGTATTTTTCAGTATACAAAAGGAATTATGGTTTTTCTCCAGAGGCTTGTTATTATTATTATTATTATTTTTTACTGTGAATTTGAAGCTTTTATAAATTAAGTTCTTATAACTTTACACTTTTTTTCCCAAGTCCATTATGCAAATAATTATTTTTTTATTTTTTTTGATAAAGGAGTTTGTAGGATTTTTGAACATTTTTTAATCATGTATTTAATATGCTTGGAAAAAAAAACCAGTTTGTTGCTGATTTCAGCAAAGAACTTGTATAAGCTAGAAAAATTTAGACAGCATTTATTTTAACCATCATATTGATGTTTTTGTATGTGTACAATCAGTTGTGTTTTGTAAGAAAATAAAAAAATGGATTTGAATAATACTCAAGGAGATTTTCTAGTGTCCCATTTTATGTAGTGTATTAGATTAGGTTATGTAAATTTGTAGCATAATATGAGGACTGTCCATACGATAATAACCGTAGCTTTCATGGTTCATTTCTTCATTATGTTGTAATGCATGTCGTCATGAAATGTAGACATATTCTATTTTGTATTATTGATAGTAATTATCAATAATTATGGATATCAATAAAGAAAATTAAACCCGA